TATATATATATATATTATTTTTTTTTTTCATATTTGTAATTTTAATAAATTAAATAAATAATTTAACTCCTTTTTCATTGTAATTAATAAATCACTAATATCTTATTTTTTTCACTTGTTCATGGAAGTTTCATTTTTGAAGTGTTTTTTGTATTTTTGTTTTAGTGTTTATTTTTATTTTGCATTGAGTTCTTTTTTAATTTAATAACCTTTTTTCTAAGTAGGTTTCTTTCTAATTATTTTGCATGCACTTTTGAGTTGTTTTAAATTAATTTGCAATAATCTTTCTAGCATGTTTTAGTCTTTAACCTTTATTAATCCGGGGTCGCCACAGCGGAATGAACCGCCAACTTATCTAGCTCGTTTTTACGCAGCCGATGCCCTTCCAGCAGCAACCCATCTCTGGGAAACATCCATACACACACTCATACACTACGGACAATTTAGCCTACCCAATTCACCTGTACCGCATGTGTTTGGACTGTGGGGGACACCAGAGCACCTGGAGGAAACCCACGCAAAGGCAGGGAGAACATGCAAACTCCACACAGAAACGCCAACTGAGCCGAGGCTTGAACCAGCGACCTTCTTGCTATGAGGCGACAGCACTACCTACTGCGCCACCGCATCCCTTTTATTTTTTTATTCTTATTATTAACATTTTCTTTTTAATATTAATAGCATTTTCAGTTTTCTTTTTCATTTTATTAAATCTGAAAAATGTTTTTGTGTTGTAGCCATTAATAGTGTTTAATGTATACAATGGTAAAATAGTTTTTATTGTTGATTTTTAAGTGTGCATATATATATATATATATTCATTCATTCATACATTTTCTTTTCAGCTTAGTCCCTTTATTAATCTGGGGTCGCCACAGCGGAATGACATCCAGCGTTCTCCAGCCTTCAGCGCCTAGACTGCAGCTCTGCACAAGCCGTTTGGCCAGTGGAGAAATGGTCGTGCAAACTGAGCCTGGTTTCTCTCCAGGTAATTTAATTCTTCTTTCACCAATTGGTGAAGTTTTTTCCTCGCCGCTGTCGCCACTGGCTTGCATGCGTCGGGACCCGTAGAGCTGCGCATCGATGGATTTGCTCCTCGGTGTTTGGACTCTCAGTATTGAATATTAAACTAGAGACTTTTTCTGATTCAAAAAAATAACCAAATAAACTCCTATTCCTCATCTCGCGCGCACAGACCTGCTAGGACAACACTGGGATACATCACAGCCGGTCGGCCGGTCGCATGCGGTCTAGTCGCAGGAGTTCAAATATTTCAATAGATCTGCAGCTCAATTCGGATCCGATTTTACCCGCATACTCCAGCCAGCTCCCGGACTGCTCTCCATTGGAAATGAATGACTTCTGTTCACATTAACATTCAAAGGTTGCAAGTTTATGTGTGGTTGAAAAACACTTGCTGTGCGTAACGCCCATAAGCATTTACATTTTACTATTTCACTTCTACTACAGACAGACAGAAGTGTTCAGTCAGTATAAATCTGCTTCTCTTACCCGGTGTGTCCTGTGCAGCAGCTCTTTCTTCTCCTGCCGGAGGGAGCTCAGTGTTTTCTCCTTCTCCTTCTCCATCTCCTTCAGCTGCTTCTCCAGATGCTGCACTCGTTCCTGCAACACAGCGAAGCCATCATCATCATCATCATCTGCAGGTTCAGTGGTGTTTCAGTGAATGCATTAGTGAAGGATGAAGGTCAGAGATCTGTCATGAAGAGCAGCTGAGTCAATGAGCAGCATCTCTCTCTCTCTCACCTCCAGCTGCAGACACTGCTGCATCACAACACAACACCAGACACTACTGCACCAGCTGAAGACAATATTATTCACTTTCCTGAGAAATAGTTTAATATATTTCCCATGTGATGTTTTTTTCACAGTATTTCCTATAATATTTGTTCTTCTGGAGAAAGTTTTATTTGTTTTATTTCGGCTAGAATAAAAGCAGTTTTTAATTGTTTTGAAGCCATTTTAAGCTCAATATTATTAGCCGCTCAGTTTTATTATTATTATTATTTATTATTAGCAGTATCAGTTTTGGATTGTCTCCAGAACAAGCCACGGTTATACAATGACTTGCCTAATTACCCTAATTAAGCTTTTAAATGTCTCTTTAAGCTGTATAGAAGTGTCTTGAAGAATATCTAGTCTAATATTATTTACTGTCATCATGACAAAGAGAAAATAAATCAGTTATTAGAGATGAGTTATTAACACTATTATGTGCAGAAATGTGTTGAGAAATCTTAATGGTGATTCCTTCATGCATTAATTTTCTTGTCGGCTTAGTCCCTTTAACAATCCAGGGTCGCCACAGCGGAATGAACCGACAACTTATCCAGCAAGTTTTTACGCAGCGGATGCCCTTCCAGCAGCAACCCATCTCTGGGAATCATCCACACACACATTCACACACACACTCATACACTACGGACAATTTAGCCTACCCAATTCAACTGTACCGCATGTGTTTGGACTGTGGGGGAAACCGGAGCACCCGGAGGAAACCCACACGAACGCAGGGAGAACATGCAAACTCCACACAGAAACGTTAACGGAGTCGAGGTTTGAACCAGCGACCTTTCTGCTGTGAGGCGACAGCACTACCTACTGCACCACTGCCTCGCCCTTAATGGTGAATATTTTAAATAATATTAAAATGTTATACAAATATTGAATATTTTACTGTAATATTTTTGTGCATGTATGAATTTAATATATAAGTTGAATCCGCTTACAGAGAGTGTTAAAGTCTCTTTCAGAGTCTGCGTCAATCTGTGAGTGTCTGCTTATCGTAATGCTGATGTTTAAGTTCCTTTTATTTGTTTTTAAGTGTCTAAATGGCGCTGCACCCCTTTACCTCTCTGAGCTGCTCTGTGTTTACACACCTTCTCGTTCGCTCAGGTCAGCCGACCCGCTCCTCCTGGGTGTGCCCACGACCAGTCGAAAGCTCAGAGGGGATCGGGCTTTTGCTGTGGCTGCACTAAAATTGTAGAATGAGCTGCCGTTGTATATTAGACAAGCCTCTTCCATTACTGTTTTTAAATCTCTTCTTAAACCCCACTTGTTCAATTAGGCTTTTAGCACAGCGTGAGATGTGGACATTTTATGTTTATATATTTGCATTTAAAGTTTGTTTAACTCTTTGTTGTCAGCACTTTGGTCAACTGTGTTGTTTTAAAGTGCTTTATAAATAAACTGAATTGAATTGAATGTGATTATCTTGATTTCTTGTTGTTTGTTGTGTCAGCAGTATATTAGCGCAGATGCTCAGTGCGTCTCAGCTGATCACAGAACAGCCAATCAGAGCCAAGATAAAGTGCTCCATTCAGAGTAAATCAGGAATTTGAAACATTCCACTTGCAAAAGTCACTTGACATCATGTTTGCAGCTTCTCAACTCAGATTCTGTGTGAATATTAGGCCGGCACTGCAGGTGAAGTGTTCATTTATCAATAAACATTCATTCAGAAACAGCAGATCCTTCAGAGCAGGAGTGTAAGGCTGCTTTCACACCTACACTTTTGTTTGGGAACGTGTCTCGTTTGCCCAGTTAGCGCGGTTCGTTTGGCATATGTGAACAGGGCAATCGCGCTCTGTTCCGCGCCAAAGTAATCGCTCCGAGATCGCTTGAATGAGGTGGTCTCGGCTAGATTGAAACGAACCCTGGAGCGGTTTGATTGCAGTGAGAAAGCGATCCGATCTGAGCGCGGTTATATCACAGTGTTTTATGGATATGTAATAGGCTTACGGCTATATGAAGAGAGAATTATGAGTAGGGCGGGAAGTTTCGCGAGTCTCCGGATGCCCGCAAACGAGTGATGATCTCCCGGTAATCTCGCGTCTCCCTCCCGGTCCTCAAATAGGCATCGTCGCGCACCCTTCTCACCCCTCCCCACCGCATCTCTCCTCAGACACGTCGCGCGCGCACCCTGTCAATCACCACCAAACCACCACCTCTCCTGACAGCTGAGCGGGACGCTGCAAAATAAACCCTGACACTCTGACCAATGTGAGGAGAGTTTACTCACACGTGACTTGTTTTAGTTCTTTTGGTCTGATTAGAAACTTTGCAGTGTGAAAGCGAACCGCTCCAAGAGCAAAGAGCAACAATGTAACAACTGTAATCTCAGTTTCAGAACAACTGAATCCATTCACAGGTGTGAAAGCACCCTAAAAGACTATGTGTGTGGTGAATTGTGGGTAATCTGAGCTCACCTGAGAGGCGTTGCGTGTGTGTTGTACTCTGGTTATTTCTGTCTCGATGACGGTTTCCGTCTCTCCATCCTCCCCGTCTCGCTCTTCTTCGACTCCGCTCTCCAGCTCCAGAATGCTGAACTCCAGGTCCTCAAACACTCGCAGCGTGGCCTCCAGAGCATCCTTCTCCTGAGCACAGTTCAATGTTTAATTATAACATGTTTTTTAAAACAACAAGTGTTTACCAAGTGCTGTACAAGCATGCCTAATTTAAAACAAGACTGTCGTGTTAAAAGCAAAATGAGTATTTAGACTAGATTTAAAAACAGAAAGGGTTTTGGCCTGGCTAATACCAAGAGGTAAATTGACCCTTCGCTAAGCCCCATCCTCCTTAGTTACTGCTACGCCTGTCAAGCTTTCGTGTCTGGCACGTCTTTCACCCCAGACTATAGGGTTAGATGTTTTCTCTCTCTTATTTATTTATTTGTTTTTTGTGTTTGGCACATGTACTCATGTGCGATCAGAAAACTAGTGTCCGCCTCTCCCTTCACTCCGCCCCGAAGACCCAGCTGGCCCTTTTCGGCCCAAGGTATTCGGCAGGCCAAAAAAGGCCAGCCACTGGCCCTGAAAAAGCCCTGCTTTGGCCCGATAAGCCCCTGGAAGTGACAGTGAAAATGCGACGGGCCTTGGCTCACTTGCTTTAGGCGCGATAGTGGAAACGCGGCTGATGTGTATAAGCCGCTGTCAGACATTCTGAATATAATTAGTCATTTTTGGCGAACAGTGAGATATCAGAGTGGTGCAAATTAATTTGACTTGTAAATTTGACTTAATAATATAAAAGAAAAATCTATTTTGTGTTAATGTGACATGTTTCTGTCCAATATTACACAATCCATGCATATTGCCACTATAAATAAAAGTTATTTTTTGAAGAATTTGAAATGTGGTGGCGACGCAGTGGCGCAGTGGGTAGCACGTTCACCTCACAACAAGCTGGTTCGAGCCTCGGCTCAGTTGGCGTTTCTGTGTGGAGTTTGCATGTTCTCACAGTCCAAACACAAGCGCTATAGGGGAACTGATCAACTAAATTGACCGTAGTGTATGAGTGTCAATAAGTGTGTATGGGTGTTTCCCAGGGATGGGTTGCAGCTGGAAGGAAATCCGCTGTGTAAAACATATGCTGGATAAGTTGGTGGTTTATTCCGCTGTGGCAACCTCAGATTAATAAAGGGACTAAGCCAAAAAGAAAATCAACGAATGAATGAATGTTTATGCACACAGAAAACCGCTCATTTACAAGATATTAATAACATCTCATGGTTTGTCCTGTATTTTAGATTTAATAAATGCAGTCAGGGTGAACAGAACTGGCTGTTATCTCCTCTCACCTGTTGTAGCTGCAGCATCATCTGCTCTCTCTGGTCCTCCGGCTGTGACGGGATCTGCTTCTCCATCTCCGCACACCTGCTCTTCATCTTCTCCACCTGCAGACGCTGCTCCTCCAGCTTCACACGCTCCTGAACAACACCACAGCGTCAGCTCAAACTCAATAGCTATGCTCACATCCATCTATTATTATGCACATTTCGGAATTTTGCATAAAAGCACTGATTAATGTAAACGCCAAGATGTGCAAAAAAAATAGGATAAACGATTTGTATGATAAGAAAACATTCACATGAACTCAGATGCAAACACATGTAAACTTTTCGCTTCTTCAGTCAGTGTGATGGGGTTTAGTTTTTCCACAGATGATGATTACATAAAAATGCGCATGATGGGATGCATTACTGGACAAAGCAGCGTTTTCCCCACATTGTAAAACATCTGAAATGTCTTGCTGATTGTAAAATGAGGTTTACTTTACCCGGTAACATTGGCACCATTTTATCTTACAGTATATTTACTAAATACTGACTGATTGTAAGAAGGCAGACCAAAGACTTTTAGCTTAACACAACTCCTCGACGGGCCTTGGCTCGCTTGCTTTAGGCGCGATAGTGGAAACGCGGCTGATGTGTATAAGCCGCTGTCAGACATTCTGAATATAATTAGTCATTTTCGGCGAACAGTGAGATATCAGAGTGGTGCAAATTAATTTGACTTGTAAATTTGACTTAATAATATAAAAGAAAAATCTATTTTGTGTTAATGTGACATGTTTCTGTCCAATATTACATATTTCATGCATATTGCCACTATAAATAAAAGTAATTTTTTGAAGAATTTGAAATGTGGCCCTTCACTTGGTTTGCAAAACTTAATGTGGCCCTCGGGTCCAAAAAGTTTGCCCACCACTGCTCTTCATCATTCATTCATAGAAAGAGCAGCCAGAAAGGGGAAACTGATGGATTTGTGCCGAATATTAGCATCATTGACCCATAACAGTGTGCAGTAAGTAACCTATCACTGTCAGTGTGTTTGTGTGCTCTTTATAAATGACTGATAAACAGCTGTGGGTAAAGTATATCGTTTGCAGATGCTCAGTTTGTGATCATATCTCGGTTTTGTTCTGTTGATTTGTAATTTCTAATATTCGTAGTTTACTTTACCCGGTAACATTAGCACCATTTTATCGTACAGTATATTTACTAAATACTGACTGATTGTAAGAAGGCAGACCAAAGACTCTTAGCTTAACACAACTCCTTATCAATGCAATATAAATCAATTTATAAGGGTGGAAACAAAGAACAAGAATTATTATATCTTATGAATGATTCATAAGAAAGAGAGACACAAATCAATAAATAAATTATGTTGCTTTGGCAAACTCTTACCTTTAAATGAATTAATAAAACTTTAGACTCCTATTTAATACAACTCCACACATTAATATATGAAGACACTGACGCACTGATCTTGATATATTCCATGGTCGACTGCGATTTTTTTTTATACTATCGATTTTTTTATAAGCAAATTGGCTAATAGAATTTTAGAAACCACAAAAAAATTTGACAAAATGAGTATTTGACTCATGTGAGACAACAATTGCGCTTTCTTCATGATCTACACAAAGACTCAACACAGGCCTAGATTAGTGTGGGCAGATAAAGATTTAAAATAGATTGAATTCATTTAAATTATGATGTAAAAACTATTTGTTTTTGTGAAATGATCCTACGTAAAACACAACTGCACCTAAACCAGGGGTGTCCAAACTACGGCCCGCGGGCCATCTGCGGCCCGCAATCAGTTTTGTGGCGGCCCGCGAGGCTTTTTATGAATATTAATATAATCTGGCCCGCTATACAAAAATGAACGTAATTCAATAAATAACCACCGGGTGTCGCTATTACATGCCTTCAATTAGGCAGCCTTCCTGTTATGAAGTAAAACGAACCAAACAAACAGAAAGAAACATACAGTAATTCATACATGCATCTGGCTCAATTGACTCAGGCTGGAATCGGGCATTGAGTCCAGGCATAAGGAGTAGGTCCAGCAGAGGTAGTCAGTCTGAGGGGTAAGTCTCCGGCAGGCAAGAACTGGCCCTAGTGTATTTTGCTATCTGGGTGGCTAGGCGTGTATTAGCAAACTAATAAAGCCCGAAAAAAGCCCTGACCTTAGCGAATAAACAGTGTTCCACCAGGATCATGCATGTCAGAAACTGTAGTTTACTGCTGAACTCATTTTGTCATAGTAAAATATCACAGAAATCGAGTAATAACACTTCAGTCTTCTGCCGAAGCTCAGACGCCGCGCTTTGAGAAACTGTCAATCACAGCTGTCAATCATGATGACACGCCCAGCATTAAATTACTGCTAAAAACAAACTGTTTACAAAAATGAAGATCTGCACCTATTTCAGCACAATAACCAGTGCCTTAATCCACCAGAACCATCTTTTGGGACATTTTATTGCAAGTGTAATTTATTTTTTTATTTGGGCTCAAGTCTCCTTCATTAACACGGAGGAGGCGGGCTTTATGACTTGTACTGCAGCCAGCCCCCAGGGGGCGATCTAATGGCCGAAACCTTCACTCAAACGCAGGCTTGCGGCACACTTGAGCTGTGCGCTATTGTTTAATCCTTTGGGGTTACGTGCTGACTGACTGACAGGTGCGCGATGCGTGAGGCCAGCAAACACGCAGAAGCTTTCAGTTAAGATGAACACAGTTTCTATAGTTATACTTTATTTATAGATAAAGTATGACTCTGCATATAATCACTCTATCATGCTGGAGTTTATAGCCGTTTCACTTTACTTTAGGATGCATTATTGCCGCTCTGAAGGTCTAATCGCTGTTTTAAGTTATCCAGAGCTGTATGAATGTCATAATATTATTAAATATTACAATTTTATCAACATGTACAGCAACACTTCTGCACAATCGATACCCAGCTGATTCAGTCGTTTCATAAGAGGACCGCGCCTCTTCTCTTCTTTTTTCTTTGTCAACATATAAAGGCAGTGAGATGCGCCTCGCGTTTTTGGAATGAAAAAAGCACGTTAGCTGTGGTCGCCCACTTGTTTTACTGCAAGACATACTTAACTAGCAGAACGATAACGTATAACCCGTGCCTACTGACACATTTGCCAAAGAAGCAAAATGGAAGAAGAATATTGCTTGAAACAGACGTGTTGATGTCAAAAAAACGCTGATGTTGACCTGGATCTGCATCATAAACACAACAAATAGGCTTTACCTTTTATTTTACAGCATATAAATCATGTATGCACATTAATGCAACATCATATTTAAACAACAAAACTGTTTACAAAGTCATTATAAAATAAAACATCAGGCCTTCAGCTCTTACACTGGTGCCAAACGAGATCAAAAAGTAAAACAAATGGCAGCTGTCCCTTCAGCTCAACAACAGCAGTTTTTTTTTCATGCTAATAAAGTGCAAGAAAATTCTACACTGGCTAGTTATGATGTAGCCCCGCTAATCGCACAGCACAGGAAACCTAAAAACTCACTGAAGGAGAATTTATAAAGGATGAGTGTTGCAAGTGTAATTTGCCCAGAGAAGATTCAAGATTTTAAAAACGAAAGTCTTTCTAGAAACACAGTTGGACGATGAATTAAAATAACAAATTAAAATAATTCCATAACACACACACACACACATACACACACACACACACACACACACACATACACACACACACACACACACACACACACATATATATATATATATATATATATATATATATATATTTATGCGCATGTCTGTGTAATGTATGTAATATATGGCCCGGGACAACTTTTTTTTTTTTTTTTGCATCTGGCCTCGGCCCAAAAAGTTTGGACACCCCTGACCTAAACTAAAACATCATTCATTTACTGGATAAATGCCAATTGCCTCTATTCCAGCAGGGGGCGCCTATGGAACTGCAGAAATAATGATGATGCCATGGTTACTGCAGTAAACAAAGCAGCTTGAGGTCAAAACTAGCAGGATTTTATCGAGATCATGAACTACACAGAATAAATAATATTTGCAGATTAAATTTAGGCAGGGGGCAGCACAGTGGTTGGCTCAGCGGTTAGCACTGTGGCAGCAAGAAGGTCGCTAGTTCAAGTCCCTGCTGGGTCAGTTGACTTTTCTGTGTGGAGTTTGCATGTTCTCCCCGTGTTGGCGTGGGTTTTCTCAGGGTGCTCCGGTTTCCCCCACAGTCTAAACACATGCACTATAGGGGAATTGATCAACTAAATTGGCTGTAGTGTATGAGTGTGTATGCAAATTTGAGTGTGTATGGGTGTTCCCCATTCGCTGTGTAATGGTGATAATACTATTATCACTATTATCCGTTGGATAGTGAAATATATATGTCCTAATAGTGTTTTTATCAAAGGGCCAAATATACACTCACTGGCCACTTTATTAGGTATACCTGTTCAACTGCTTATTAACGCAAATGTCTAATCAGCCAATCACATGGCAACATCTCTATGCATTTAGGCATGTAGACATGACCAAGACGATCTGCTGCAGTTCAAACCGAGCATCAAAATGGGGAATTTTGAACGTGGCATGGTTGTTGCTGCCAGACGGGCTGCTCTGAGTATTTCAGAAACTGCTGATCTACTGGGATTTTCACGCACAACCATCTCTAGGGTTTACAGAGAATGCTCCGACAAAGAGGAAATATCCAGTGAGCGGCAGTTCTGTCTACTCTGATGAGTCTTTATTTCTGCTGACACATTCGGATGATCGGCTCAGAATTCGGCATTAATACTATCAAAGCATGGATCATCCTGCCTTGTATCAGCGGTTCAGGCTGGTGGTGCTGGTGTAATGGTGTGGGGGAGACTTTCTTGGCACACTTTGAGTCCATTAGTACCAATTGAGCATGGTGTCAACGCCACAGCCTACCTGAGTATTGCTGCTGACCATGTCCATCCCTTTATGAGCACAGTGTCTCCATCTTCTGATGGCTACTTCCAGCAGGATAACACACCATGTCATGAAGCTCAATCATCTCAGACTGGTTTCTTGAACATGACGATGAGTTCACTGTACTCAAATGGCCTCCACAGTCACCAGAGCTCAATCCGATAGAGCAGCTTTGGGATGTGGTGGAACGGGAGATTGGCATCATGGATGTGCAGCCAACAAATCTGCAGCAACTGTGTGATGCTATCATGTCAATATGGAGCAAAATCTCTGAGGAATATTTCCAGTAGCTTGTTAAATCTCTGCCATCAAGGATTAAAGCAGTTCTGAAGGCAAAAGGGGTCCAACCTGGCACTAGTAAGGTGTACCTAATAAAGTGGCCGGTGAGTGCATATATGCATAAAAGAACCCACAGACCTTCTCTCTCCGTGAGGATCGCTGGCTCCTCCTGTGTTTGTGTTTCTCCTGCAGCACCTGCAGCTGATCTGTGTGTCTGTGCAGACGCTCCTGCTCCGCCTGCAGCTCCGCCCGCAGCAGCGCCACCTCCAGCTGCAGCTGCACAACACAAACACAACAAACTCAACACTCGGCATGGACAGAGAAAAACTTTCATTGGTTCTCTTGCCTCCAAAAGCCACCCCGTTCACTGCATTTCGTCTTTTTCTTCTGAGGCGCAGCTCATTTATTAGAGAAGAACAAAAACACCACAGTGGCTTTTCCTACTGCACAGCAAAACACTTTTCTGGCTTGTAAACACTGCTTTATTCGCAGATGTTTTATGCGATATTAGAGTTTAAATCACAGCTCAATTAATCAGCGAAGACACACCCACTCTCCGCCCACCTCTATCTTCAGCTCCTCCCTTTGCTGGTCAAGCTCTGTGATTCGCTGCTGCATCATGGAGGGCGTGGTCAGGATCTTCTCAGAGTCTCCGCCTGTGTGTCTGATCCGGTACTGCAGAATTAGAGTGAGAGCTGAATGTGCTGTTATACTGAAGCTCATGTTATTATTATTATAATAACTCTGGTTTACCCGCTCGCTCTCGGTGCTGCTGCCCTCTGTGTCGGACTCGGCTCCTGATGAAACCGGGCTCTGCTCCACAACTCTCAGGATCCAGGGCGATCTTCGAATGGTGTCCATGTTGTGTCTGGGCATGTCTGATTCAGCAGGAATAAAGAAACAGCTGAATTGTGGAATTATGGGACAATTGCGCATTACTGTAATTCAATCTGGCTCTGGTGGAGAAAACAAACAACGGTCAAATGACTGAAACTAACATGCACTGAGTGTGGAGAAAGAGTCTCAAAAACACAAACAGGACTGGAAATCAGCATATATTGTGTTTTGCAAATGACACATGATTAGATTTATCAACACAACTTTTTTTTAGAACTACTTATTATGAAATAAAAAGCATTAATTTACATGCATTATATTGTAAATGAATGCTAAAACAATTCTGACATAAAATGCTATAACATTTATTTTGTTATAAAATATTTTTAACAATTTTGTTTTGTTATAGAATATGTATATATATATATATATATGTGTATATATGTATATATATATAAAGATTAAGTATTTAAACACAATGCTGGATAAGTTGGCGGTTCATTCCGCTGTGGCGACCCCAGATTAATAAAGGGACTAAGCTGAAAATAAAATAAATGAAAGGATGAACGACTGTATTTTCATTAACTAACCTTAAAAACATAACTAAATACTGTAATTAAAGTATTGTTCACTGTTTGATCACGTTGCATTAAAATAACCCTATTGTATAGTGTGACCAATATATTATATAATATAGTGTCATTAACTATAAAAGTTCCTCTCTCATTGTCCTCTGTGTACAAGCAGACATAATATAATAACAATAGTCTTTTAAAAGCCACCAAACCACAGTAAAGCAGAGCAGATGAAAGCACAAGTGAAAGATGAAGGCCGTGTGGTTTTCCAGCAGTTTGTTCAGGTGTTTCTCACACTGTAAACGCCTGACTGAAGCTCAAATGCTGAATTGGGGAACTAGTGAAGTCACAATTGTCATAATATTAACATAATAATAAACTGTAGAGGTAACAGTAAATGATTCAATATGATGTTGAGTATTGTGACTTCCTCAATTCAGCACTTCAGCTTAAGATAAAGAATCAGACAAAGTTCACAAAAAGAACCACTGCATAAAACAAATAATTTATCACACGTCTGCGGTGCATATAATGCATCATTCATTCATTTTCTTTTCGGCTCAGTCCCTGAAGGGGTCACCACAGCGGAATGAACCCCCAACTATTTCAACAAATGTTTTACACAGTGGATGCCCTTCCAGCTGCAACCCAGTACTGGGAAACACCCATACACACTCATTCACACACACTCGTACACTACGGCCAATTTAGTTCATCAGCTCCCCTATAGCACATGTGTTTGGACTGTGGGAGAAACCGGAGCACCCAGAGGAAACCCACGGCAACATGGGGAGAACATGCAAACTCCACACAGAAACGCCAACTGACCCAGCCGGGACTCGAACCAGCGACCTTTTTGGTGTGAGGCTACTATAATGATAATTTTGCGAGATATTGTGCAGCCCTATAACTGTGTGTTTTTCCCATCAGTCGGTCCGTCCAGCACAAACCTTATTAGGCCTGGGCAGAACCGCTGGGATAAATATAAAACTCTGATATGAGGCGTTCTGCAGGAGGAAGTGGCTTCTGAAATGTCACAGGCTGGTTTCATGTTTCTGTTCCCAGAATAAACACACACTCTCACACACTGCAGCACAATGGCCAGCGCAGACGAGAATTGAACTATAAAAGAGCGATTACTGCACGCAGATATTAACTACATCAACACTACACACAGCGGCTTTAACTAGACTAATGCCACTGAATGCATGAACACATTAACTTGCAATGCATTATGGGACATACTGTATACGGGGAAAATGAAATAAGCAAATAAATAGTGGGGCAGAGAAGGATTCTCGCGATAATCGTCCTCCAATACCGTTCTTTGTCATGAGCTGCAGTATCAGCTAAAACTTACTAAAGTCAAGCTTCTTTAGTGATGATGTATACAGTGTATATACAGATTTTACATTTAGCAGCCGTCTGCGTTAAATGCAGTCAATGCAATGCATCAAATTAAACAGCGGATGCACTCCGAGACTTTCAGTGCTATCTGTGAAAACACTCTCTCAGCTGGCGGATCAACATTCACCACATGATCGCTCTCATCTGCGCCAGTATTTGTAACTTTAGGTGAATTTGCAAACCTGTTTTCACCGCGTCTTCCTCAAACTTCAGCTTGCATTTCTTGTGTTCACAAAAGCTCCCTGTCATCTGACAGCAGAAAGCATCGAGTGATTGACAGCTAATAAGAGCCAATATAAGATCTACGCGTCAGGGAAGACTGAGGCCCTGTTTACACTAATTCGTTTTCCTTTTAAAACACATAAGTTTTGCTACGGTTACGCCATCCATCCACACTACGCTGGAGATTTCGAGCGCAGAAAACGGAGTGTTTTAGAAACGCTGGAGAGGCCGCTTTCTTTCTAAAATGCTGCTGCTCGGTCTCAGTGTGGATGGGGGAAAACAGAGACGTGTGAAAATGGAGGCGGGGCTGCAGACATTCGCCTCTCTGATTGGGGCTTTTCCTCAATATTAATTAGCCCACACACAGTTCAGTCCTGCATCCTCTCAGACTTCACAAGTGTGATAAGGAAAACAGACTCCCGAGGACATGTCGGGTAAATCTTCAAAGGGAACAGTGTACTGCATCACATTATTCACATCCTCCTGGATACGTACGTTGTTTCACTGTCTTAACAATAAAATGAAAACATGATATAAAGAACTGCTGTTTTTATTTTGATATTAAAACTTAACAGACAGTAGAAATGTTGAGGCGTCGTGCTGCATATATGAGCGTCATCTTCACTGTGTGCATATTTATAACAAAACATCACTGCGTTTTCAGTAGTTTGGTGTAGACCAGGGGTGTCAAACGTACAGCAAGCAAACGAATTAAATGCGGCCCGCTGAAATTTTTTCAATAAAATATACTGCTGTTCCAATTGTGCCCACTGGATGGCGCAATAGCAAACTTAATTTCATCGCATCCAGAAGCCTGAATCAGCTTCAATTTGACAGCCATCTCAGAGAGAAAGACCTCATACCTTTTTTCGTATCCGTCCAAGAAAACTAAACATTCGTGATCGATTGACCAAGGGAAAATCTTCTCTCGATCTGCACGTTTCTTACCGCTGGTTCTGTGTATGAGCAATCTGTCACACTATTTGTATTTAAATAATGTAGACTTTTTGTTCTTGTAATTATTATAATTTTTTTGCAATAATGTCTCATTTTATTTATTTTTTTCCGATATTTATTTCACATTTGCTGCATATTTGATGATGTTAATATATTACATACTTTATACATATCTAAAATTTTTGACAATACTGTAAATGTCATTTCAATATAGCAACTTTAGAGAGAGAGAGAGAGAGAGAGAGAGAGAGAGAGAGAGAGAGAGAGAGAGAGAGAGCAGAGCACCCTTTACCTGTCAGTGGGTGCACACCTCCTAAATAGCATAAAGGTAAGAGAAATAGTGGATTTCTATTATTTCAACAGCCTTTTTAAAATAACTTTAACCCATTGAAAATAAAAGGGCTATAGCAGTGTCATAATAAATAGAAATCAAGTTAAAAATCACATTATTTTTTGTTTGTTGCATGTAGTTGACCATTTATGTGCTGTGGGAAAAAGGTGTTTTTCAATCAGGCTACCACTGCAGGTATATTTCAAACCTGTGGGAAGCCCTGCACACTGAGGTGATCTAACGAGGAAATGAAACTATTTTCCGTTTTGTCAGTTTAGTGGCTATTTTGTACGAGTTCAGTCATATGAAAATGTACCATTTGAAAAAGGAGGTGTGGTACCCTCCTCCCCCACCCCCACCCCAATCCCTGTGGACCTGGCTCACCATGCGGCCCCTGAACTAAAATGAGTTTGAGAGTTGGGTGAAACGCTAGTGTGGACGCGGATCGTTTTCATTCTAAAAAACATTTTTAAAACTAAAACATACTAGTGTAAACGGGGCCTGATTCAGCATGTTTTTAGAAAAAATAAAAACAGGTTGCACTACAACCATTATATGCAGTGGCACAAATGCTCCCAAATATATTATGAGGTCGCATGCAATCTATTTTGGGCGCATATGTGACCAAAACTGTTGCAATTTCGAGCCCTGTAAAATGCTAACTCACTTCAGGGTTTTTGCATACAAACTGACGTCATGGTTTCCCCACTCTACCGCTGCATCCTGATTCCCATCCTAGTATCCATCCTAAATGCAACATCAGCTCATTCTGAAAATGTAGCCTTATATACGTTTCTGGAGATCGAGAATTAAGTAGCCAGAAGTATATATGGCTGCATTTCGTCGCTACGGTGGGGTATGACGCTGTTGCTTTTTGCGCTTACCACCGTATGGACGACTTTCCTACTGTTACCAGTTTTTTCATTAGCTTAGGTGGATTTACGTGAGAACAGCACTTGCGACCTCTGGTGGATACACAAAAAATGCAAAAAAAGGTAACCTCTTTAACCGTATTAAATGTAGATGCTGAATCACTGATAAGTGTTTAGTTCTTGAGTTCAATTCAGACGCTTAATTTTCCAGATCTGGGGTGATCTATCTGCAGTGGCGTAGCGGACGGGCCCACAGGGCACGCACCGCGGGGGGGCCCCGCGTGATTAGGGGGCCCCGCGTCGTCGCGATTTTCAATAAACTCTTGGGAACAACTGTGGTCGAAACCAAAGTTCACACGTCTGTGTTCTCTGAACATCTCTCAAGCGGTGGACTACTTCATTCTGATTGCTTGCCGCCAATGTTGCCAACTTAGCGACTTTGTCATTAGATTTAGCGAATTTTCAGTCACCCCTAGTGACAAATCTAGCGACTTTTTTGTGTGTTATTGGAGAATTTTTTTTAGACCATCATTTGTCCATACTGTACCGTCCCTACTCTTCTCAACGAGCTGCGTGTGATGCCGCCGGCCCTCTGCGTACCGACGACAAATGATTTAGCACAGGCAGTGTGAAGTGTACTTCTCCTTTATTTTAACAATTTAATTGGAGCGTTTATT